ATTGCTGAAGAGTCAATGACTCGATGCAATCAGCTGGTTTTCCTTAGATGGAAAACTTTGAATCAATCTGACTGGAGGATCTGGTTTAGTTGTCTCTATAAAGTGTGTTTTGAACTGGCGCTATAGAAATAAACTGCATAGAATTGTTAACAGCCTGGTTCCCATTAAAGCCAGTGTGGTCTTACCGCCTGGTGGTTGTAGATCTCTCCATTGTAGCAGAGCCACAGGTAGGGGAACTTCTTGACACGCAGCGGCTGCATGCCGTACAGCTGGTCCACGATGGCCAGCCGGTGGAAGCCGAAGCAGCAGTTGGTGAAGCCGTTGACGTTCTCGAAGCGGAAGGCGTCGGGGCCCCTGTGAGCGATCTTCATGGCACAGGTGCACTGAACCGACAGGCACTCATCGCTGCCGAACAAAGCCCAGATACCACACATGGTTCACCTGCAGGGAGAGGAGGCCGGGGTTATGACTCGTACCAGGCAGGACAGGTCCCACCAGTCTGGGTGCCCACCCAGGGCCACGCCCCCTCCTCCAGGGCATGTCTGTACCAGTCTGAACCAGAGAGTCAATGCCTGCCAGCAGGAAATGAGCAGTTAGAGAACAGGAGCCACCAGCCTGGAGCCAAATGGCCTGAACAGACCCTGGAACACGGTGATGGCAGCGTGATGCTGAGGGTAGCTTCCCTCTAACTGCCACAGGGGAACCATCTGCTTATTTCTCATGTTTCTAGCAGGCTTCCTGTCATTCAGCTCTTCCTCATCATCATCTCTCTCTGGCTCTGATACCTGACGTCATCAAACTAAAGCCCTTTGATCTGTGCTCGGCTCCCGGGCTGGTTCTGACCGAACCGGGCTGGTTCTGACCGAACCGGGCTGCAGACCTACCGTGTGTCTCTGGAAGTTCAACCCGGGATCCTGCTGCTCTGCTCACTGATGCGGCAGCAGCTGCTGAGGCGGCGTGAGGCACGCGGGGCATTGTGGGGGGTCTCTTCAAAATAAAAGCACGCGAGGGACGCGAAGCGAGGAACCATGAGATCCCGACTGCAGAGCTGCTGGGAGGCGGAGGGTACTTCCGGCCCCTCCCTCCTCCGCTGTCTGATGGCTGCGCGTCTTTTATTGTGAAAAGCAGCAGGTCGCCTGCAGCACGAGGCTCTGTGCAACCTGAGCTCACATTGCATCACCTGCAAAACACCAAGTCCTCATCCAAACATGCTCCATTAGCAGGCTGGGCTGGTTCCGAGGTCATTGCTGGTTCTGGAGATTGGACCGGAACACTGACGGACAGGATGACGGCTTCCAGGAGGTCCGGTTCCGGTCCGGTCCGGATCTAAATGGACATTTTGAAAAGTGTTGGATTGGATCAGTCATTAAAACAGGCAGTAAGCTGCTCCAGATTGTTCGTCACAGAGAGAAACAGGACAAAAGAAAAAACAAAGACATCTCAGAAAAGAGGAGCTTAATCTGGAGCTGCTCGCTGTGAATCCATCACCATGGTAACATGAGGACCGCTGTGATTGGCCAACATGTCTCAGCTTCACTACAGGTCACAGACAAGGTGGAGAACCAGGTCCAGGCCAACCAATCAGAGCTGGAGAAGGATGGAGCTCAGGTTCCCCTGATCTGCTGGAGACCAGGATGAGTTCCTACTGGAAGATAATAAACCATTTAATGGAGAACCTCATTAGTTCCTAATAAGAAACCATTGAATGGAGAACCTCATTAGTTCCTAATAAGAAACCATTGAATGGAGAACCTCATTAGTTCCTGATAATAAACCATTGAATGGAGAACCTCATTAGTTCCTGATAATAAACCATTGAATGGAGAACCTCATTAGTTCCTGATAATAAACCATTGAATGGAGAACCTCATTAGTTCCTGATAATAAACCATT